CCCATCCCCCGACCGTGTCCTGCAAGCTCCTTCGATTTCATGTCTCTGTCCTGGTCTTTGCATCTGATCTTTTCCCACAAATAATGATTTGCCACCATTTTTTTTTTAAATACACCAAAAAACTGCCGCCTGAATGTGTCGGGTTCAACGTCAGACTCTCAAATCCCAAGTGTTGTTATGCAGCCTGGAAGTCCTCATTTCTTGTCAGTCTAACAGCACAGATATCTTCACCCAGCACTGAACAGGAAGGGTCCTTCTTGCGTCTGTGCTGCAGGCTTTCCGAAGCTCGACTGAGCCTGTCTCCTTCAGTGTATTGCCCTGTCAGACGCAATCTTTTTGTATAACTTCCAGTTTAGCAAAGCTGAAAGAAAATGACCTAACCACTAGCACACGATCATGCGTTAACTACGATGTGTTCTCTCTCTCTCTCTCTTTCTTGCGGCTCAGGCCTAGTATCTGTGGATTTGGTTTGTGCAGTTTGGAGTTGGCTTAGACATTCTTGTCTTTCAAATCTTTTTTTCCGGTGCAGTGCCTCCTCTCTTTCTCCCTTTGTGGTGAGTTTTTTCTCTTGCCTTGTAACAAAAGACTGTGCCCTCGCATGACTGTTAAAAGCTCTCGATACAAAGACTGTGTAAGTGCCACACTCCTCTGAGCTTTCCACTGGGCGAATTCTGGGATGTGTCTCCCTACCTTGTGCATTGTAGATGTAATAGTGGAGGGTGGGTTTTTTTTTCGCATCTTTCAGATTTGTATCCGATGTTCTGTGGTTTAAAAACGGAAATTAAAGCTCCTGTAACAAAAAAAAAAATTAAATGTCAAGGACTCGCAAAGATAACTGATTTTAATATGTGTGTTTTATGCTCCACAATTTATTTTTTCGGGGTGGGGGGGAGTGGAAAGTTGATTTTTATATATGTATTAGCCACTCGGTAATCGGTTAAGTGGAGTTTTACATCACTGGATATGGGAGAAATATCTCGCATTTGACAAGCGGCAAGAGTCGGCATGCTGTTCCGCTATAATGGTTGTCAGAAATGTGTGCTTATCGGGTCTGTGCTGCAGTTCACCGTGTATTGAACAAGCTGGGCAGCGCCCGCCCACGTTATTCAGGTGAGGCAGGAAGTCCTCAGTTTTTCCCGAGGGGCACTTCCTGTACTGCGGAAGGAAGCGTATTTTTGATGAACTGTTCGTGCGCTGTTCTTTCTTGACGCCAGAGGGCGCTGCTCTGCGCTGTGCTGTGTGGAATGCGCTCACGTCTCTGTCGGTGCCGAGTTAGTGACCGCTGCTCTGTTTGGGTCTGAATGTTGGAATCCTTTAGGGACGGACAGGGTGGATATACGAGTCCCATGGGGACATTGCAAATACTGTTGATAGCTTCTGCAGACTTCTCGTGCAAACCCGTCTGTTTTTGTGCCTTTCTTAGTCTTGTATAACAAGATTTCTCGCGCAGCTTTGTTTAGGTGGGGATCAGTTGTGATTGCAAGTTATTCCTTTTAAAATTAATCTTTATTCTCACAGATATGTAATTAAAAAAAATATTGCCACAGCTTTGTGATTGTTCTATATTGAAAAGGTGAAAAGATTTAGCTTTTTTTT